ATGTTAAAATCAAATCTGATATTGTTTTACCTTTTATTTGGTGTGTGGAAGGTGTGCGGAAGAGGGGGTAGTCTTATACGGCGAGTATATAACAAACTCTGTATTTTGAGTGGAAATGTTAGGGGGTCGTCTTATACGCCCAGTCGTCTTATACGCCGGCAAATACGGTATATACATGGTTCTTATATTCTAAATAACGGTAACCCCCCTCAGATTCCTGAGTTTAGGTTACCCTTAAATGTTACTCTTCCTTTCCATATATATAACAAAATCATAGTTGTATAAATGCTAAAAAATAGTATATGAATGCTAAAACTTATGTTTTTCATTTTAAAACAGCCATTTGTTATATTCTTCAATGCCATTATCTTTTGAATGCTTTCTGTAAAAAAATGACAGTGTAATCAAGTCAATTTCTTCACTAGCTTCTTTATTATACATATGTGGGTAATTAACATAATGAGTTAGGGTATACGTTTTATGGCCCCTCCACTGCCTAGCATCTTCATGAATAAACACCTAAAAGAGTAAATTAATTTTAGTACTAAGTTAAGGAAAACAGCATTAAGAACATTTGTTTAAAACTAACACTTAATTTGCCCTGGCCAGTTTTGCACAGTGGTCAGAATCTCAGCCTGCGGACTGAAGTGTTTCAGGTTTGATTCCTGGTTAAGGGCAAGTACCTCAGTTGCAGGTTCTCCAGCCCTAGTAGGGGCACATGTGGGAGGCAACCAACCAATGTGTCTCTCTCACATCCATGTTTCTCTCTCTCTCTCTCTCACCCTTCTCCCTCCCTTCTACTATTTCTAGAAATCAATGGAAAAAATATCCTCAAGGATTGAAAAACAAAACAAACTGTTACTTAATTCAAGGAGAGGTGTAAACTGTTTTTGGTTTATCTGTTGTCTTTATTATTTGCTCCACTTGTATACTAAATTAGCAGTGTCTCTTGTTGTGTTTTGCTTTTGAGATAGAGCACTACATAATATAATTAGTAATCACCTTTTTCATGGCTAAGTGTAGCCACATTCTTTGAACCATTTTTTTTTATTGTTGTTATTTTGAATACACTAGTTTTTAATGCTAGTATATGCAAGCAGAAACCAATCAGGTTCATACCAAAGGTATTTAGTTTAGAACTTGGCCTATATAACTAAAAGAAGAATGTGAAGATTTCAGAATGATTGAAAAAGAACCAAGAAATATTTCAAATGTTCTTTTCTTTTTTAAATTGAATTTATTGGGGAAGCATCTATATATATAAAAGCCTAATATGCAAAATGTCCCCTTGGGAGTTTGACCAACTGGGAGTTCGATCGCTTGCTGTGCTGTGTGCTGACCACCAGGAGGTGGCGCAGAACGAAGGGAGGCCCCGGCCCCGGCCAGCGGCCCACAGCTGGGGAAGGGAGGACCCAGCCCACAGCTGGCAGCCGCCAGGGACCCTACCCATGCACACATTTCGTGCACTGGGCCTCTAGTTGGTTAATAACACCATACAAGTTTCAGGTATACATCTCAATAAAATACCATCTGCATACTGCATTGTATGCTCACCACCCAAAGTCAAGTCTCTTTCTATCCCTATTTATCCCCCTTTGGCCTATTTTCACTTCCCCCAAACTCCCTCCCCTCTGACAGCTCTTAGTCCGCTCTTTCAAAATCAGGCAAAGTTCTGAATTTCTGATGTATTCTTAGGTCTGGGATGAGAATTTGCATGATCTATCTGTTAGATTCACTTCAGATTTAACTGGAAAAATATTTTTTTCTATTATAATCTTTAAGCTTTGGCACATAAAATGCTTAGTATGCTTAAAGTCTTAGTCAAATAGATTTGATATACCTTGGGTTTTATGAATGAAAGATAGTGTTAAGATGTAATAGTAATTAAATGAACAAAACCTCAGTATAAATAAATTCAGTCTCTGATAATGATGTCTTTTAGTAGTCATTAAAATGAATTTATATTTCTTGATTAAAAAGCATTTACATATGCTTCTATGTAATATGTTTTTTATAAGGTCAAAAGAAATAGACTGGCAACCTTATTTTACAACACGCATTGTAGATGATTTTGGCACACACCTACGAGTATTTAGGAAGGCTCAACAGAAGGTAACAGAAAAAGATGATCAAGTAACAGGTAATATCTTTATTCCTGAAAATTATGATTTTAAAATCTGTTTTGTGTACATCATTCAGTATAGCTTGAATTGTTCTTTCTTTCTGCAGGTACAGCAGAAGATCTTGTAGAAACCTTCTTTGAAGTTGAAGTTGAAATGGAGAAGGACGTTTGCCGTGATCTAGTGTGCACTTCTCCCAAAGATGAAGAAGGTTTTGTTTTCAATTTCACACTTTTGAGAACAGTAACTGTTTAGGTTGATCAGAGATGAGTTAGTAGGACCAGTGAACAAATACAAGGGTGAAATTATTCTTTTAAGACAGGTAGCATAGTGAAGATACTGTTACTATTCACTTTATTTTATAATTCCTAAAAGTAATTTCCAGTTTTTTTTCTGTTTTGAAGGTTACCTTTAAAAGATGGTTAAAGATGGTAATTAAAGATTACCCCTCTTGTCTTTTTGGAAAATAAAATAAGCATAAACATTTTGTAATTGAAATTTACTTTTTTGATCGATAGTAATTTTATCTTCACCTTGATTTATTATTTCTAATTCAAGAATATATCTGGTACCCTAAAGTATTTTCTAAGATAATGCTTATAATAATTTTAAATATAATTTTTAGGGTAGAACGAACTTGCCTTCTTTTTGGGAGGTTAGATCAGATAAGCTTTAGTTGAGGGTGTTGTGATTTTCCCTAGATTTGCAATAACTAAGAGTCTTTTCTACTTGGCACATTTTTTTATTAATAGTATCAGGTGTATAATATATTCCTGTGAAGTGTCAGTATATAACAACTACAGTAAAGCATTTCTAGTTGTGGAAATTGTTTTCTTTTATTTTTATAATGCTTAACATTTTTATTTCTTTGCTTTCCTTTCCTCTTTTCTTTTTATATATATTGTGCAATTCAGTTTTTAATCACCATTATATTAGCACTGATCTGAAATAATTAAATGTAAGAAATAGATATAGTGATGTGCAGTACTTTTATGTAAGCCGAGCTCTCAAATATGTAAATTAGAGCATATTCTTTTTTCTGCCAAAATAGTGGAAGTTCTTTTTGGAAAGAATAATTACAGTAATTTTTAAATGTGCAAATAATTTTTAAGTATGCAAACATAATTAGTGTGGAATACATGGTACAGAATACATGGTACAACAAAAGTTGTTTTGGGAGCACTTTTGTAATTGAAATTTTTCAGTCATTCAAAGAGTGGGATGTAACTGAGCAGACTTAAAAATGCCATTTTGATTATTGGGTAGTTATTATTTGGAGAAGAATGAAGAAGTTTTTTGTTTGTTTTTTATATTTTTATTCATTTCAGAAAGGAAGGGAAGAGGGAGAGAGAGATAGAAACAGCAATGATGAGAATCATTGATCAGCTGCCTCCTGCACACCCCCTACTGGGGATCGAGCCCGCAACTTAGGCATGCCCTTGACTGGAATCGAACCTGGTACCCTTTAGTCCTCAGGCTGACGCTCTATCCACTGAGCCAAACCAGCTAGGGCAGAATGAAGAAGTTTTTAATGAATACTGATATGTACTAAATACTAAAATAATAAGTCAGTATAATCAGAAAACTGGTTATTTCTACCTTTATGTGTTTTATATCAAGAGTAGATGGGGATTTCATATTTTCTAATGTTGTTATACCTACCTTTTTTTTCTAGGATTCCTAAGGGATTTGTGTGAGGTCTTATTATACTTATTGCTACCTCCTGGAGATTTCCAGAACAAGACCATGCGATACTTTGTCAGGGTAAGCTTAAACTCATACCAAATAAATGGCTGTAAAGAAACTTGGAGTAGTACTTCCCAAAAGTTTTGGTCTTGGGTCCCTGTGACTCCCTTAAAAATTATTAAAGACCTCAAAGAGCTTTTTTTTTTTTTTAATGTGGGTTTTATCTATCAATATTTACCATATTATAAATTAAAACTAAGAAATTTAGAAACAGAAGAATATACAAACCCACATTCCATTAGTATAGTGAATAATATAATAGACATGTACGTACCAACTACTCAGAGTCAACCAGTGTTATATTTTACTATAGTTGCTCTGTTCCTCCCTTGAAGATAATCACTATCCTAAAATTGGTGTGTATCTTTTCCGTTTCTTCTTTGTTATTATTCTTTAAATATAGATATAGGAATCCATAAATAGTTATACTGCAATGTTTAAAAATTAACAGAAATATGTACATACTAAAGCTATATTTTTGCTTTTCTCCTTTGAACTCTAGGTGTCATTGTGGACATGTATCCATATAGATCTAGGTAGCTGCATCTCAGTTTATTTAATTTATTTATTTTAACTGGGGCAAACTAGCTCATCTAGCTTATGGTGGTTATTAAGTTTTAGTTTTACGTGTATTGTACATTTCTTAAGTAACAGGTTATGTTAGGGAATTTATATTATGCTATTGATTTGAACAGTGTATTAGATTAAATTTGTTTGTGTTTTTTTAAATTTCGTCCAGGAAATCCTTGCACAAGGAATTCTTCTTCCATTAATAAATCAACTCAGTGATCCTGATTATATTAATCAATATATCATATGGATGGTATGTACTTTCTAAATTACAACTCTTTAAAACAATTTTTTTAAATATAGAAATAGTACTTGGAGATTAGGATGATTAAACAATTTATTAAATAAAAATGTATCTAGAGATAATCTTTATATTTTCAATATTTCTGTTTGCTATATGTGTTAGTCAAGTTCTCTTTAAGAGATAAGATAATCTTGACAAGTTTGGTGTTGTTACTACTTATTTAAATTTAAAAAAGGATGTTTTACTCCCCATGTGTACAGACAGATGACCAGTATTTTTTAAAGTTAGACCCTTTCATGGAGGCCACAGAACCTGATTATTCTTTTCTTTTGTTAACTTTTATAGGTTCTCCTAGGTTCCTACTAGGTTCTCTACCAAGAGTTTTAAAAATATGCAAATCCACGTCATTAAAAATTTTTTAAATGTATAAAAAATTTTTTATACATTTAAAAAATGTATAAAAATGTATATCCCTTGGTTAGGAAATCTACTCCTGAAATTTATTCTAAAATGATGATAAGCAGATTTGCAACAACATTTAAGGCCACTAATGCAAACATTGCATATAATACTAAAAAACTGAAAGCAATTTAAGTGTTTCACATAGAGGATTAGTTTAATAAATTATGCATATTAATATAATAGAATACTATGCAGCCATTAAAAATGATGATGGTATATCCTAAGTCTGCTACCTTCGCCTAGCTCCCTTTACTGCATTACTTGGTTTAAATTTAATTGGCAATCATAATGATTAGTTCCTTCACATCTTCATATACCATTTCTCTCTCTCTCTCATTGTACTTGCTTGGTGAAATGACACTCTGGTTAAATTCAATTTAACCATCCATCTACTCTATTTCTATTCTTAAACAGCAAGTGACTGGGAAAAAAAGACAATATAATAGTATTCATATAATCATAGTGATTCTGTTAAATTTAGGTTGGAGAATCCCACTCTTCTGTTTAAAATCCTCTAGTAACTTTCATTCCACATAGAATGAAAGTCAAAACATTTATTGTAACCTACTGGTTTGCTCTTCATCACCACTGATCTTGTTGTCTACTCTTCTACCTTTCTTTGATATAGCTCAACCATTATGGCTTCCTTGTTATCATCCATCAAACATTCTGAGCATGCTTTTCTACTTTCTAGCCTATTGTATATTTTATTTCCATAGTTTAGTTTGTGACCGATGAGAATTTAAGTACTCTGAATACAGAGATTTTCATTTCGTTTTGTTATAAGCATTAGGAATATGTCAAGTTGTGCCTTTCACATGGTAGTCACTCAAGATTCTGTTTTCCCTTAATAAGTGAGTTCCCCTCCCATCTGTTTTTTAAACTTTATTTTTTAGATCCGTGAGTCTAATTGCAACTATGAGGCCTTTATGAACATTATTAAATTGAGTGACAATATTGGAGAGCTAGAAGCAGTCAGAGATAAGGCAATAGAAGAATTACAGTATCTTCGATCTTTAGATACAGCTGGTGATGGTAAGTAATTTAAGTGAAAGAATTTTTTACTTCTTTATTGTTTACTGTATCTTCAAACAAAATTGGAATTTACCTAAATGTCATTTTATGCTATTAGTTGTTTCTGCCTTAACTAAATTGGAATCTAGCTTATTGTGTTATAACATGTATTAAGAATACATTATAGCTGTGGCCATTTGTGCTCAGTGGTTAGAGTGTCAGCCCACAGGCCCAAAAGTCACAGGAAAGGGCATATACCTCAGTTGCAGGTTCCCCAACCCTGGTAGGAGCGTTGTGGGAGGCAACCAATCGATGTGTCTCTCTCACTTTCCTCCTCCCTCCCATCTTTATAGAAATCAATGGAAAAAAATATCCTCTGGTGAGGATTAAAAAAACCACAAAAACAAAAAATAAGGTATTATAATTTTGAATGTGAGACTATTATTGCAGTTATCTCTAAAGTAAAGAGAATTGGTAAGGTTTAATATTAACTAAATGATTTCATTATATAATTTTAGGTTATTTCATTATTAAATATAATATTTTTTTATGCATTGGCTTTTATATTAAACTAGGGGCCCAGTACACAAATTTGTGCACCTTGAGAGGAACTGTGGGCCACGAAGCTGGGGTGGGCACAGGGGGCAGGTCTTGGCCCATCCTCCAAGCCTTCACCCGGCCCCTCCCGCTGTGGCCCCACTCCCACTGCCCCCACCTGCTGACAGCGCAGAGTGATTGGGGCCAGCAGTGGGTACAAACGGGTCTGGTGCTGGCAGCAGGTGTGAGTGCCGGGTGGGACCGCAGTTCGTCGGAGCAAAGAATTTTCAGTAACCACCAAAGGCTCGCCCTGATGACAGCTACTGGTGCCCCACCTTGGTCTGGCTCCCCTGCTCCACCATACTGCTACGGCCAACGCCCACCATATTCCACATGTGCCCCTGGGTGGTCATTGCACGTCATAGCAACTGGTGGTTTGGTTGTTCCACCATTCTGTCTATTTGCATATTAGCCTTTCATTATATAGGATAACAGTAAGGGCATGTTTAAAGTATTTCACATATAACTATCACTTTCTAGTTCATAATCAATTTGTTTGTTTTTAGATATCAACACTATCAAAAATCAAATAAATAGCTTATTATTTGTAAAGAAAGTATGTGACTCAAGAATACAACGGTTGCAGTCAGGCAAAGTAAGTAAAGTACTTTTGAGTTAACATTTAATTATAAATACTCTTTATTTATTAAAATGTTTAGCAGGGTGGGGGCATAGGTGAAAAAGGTGAAGGGGATTGAGAAGAACAAACTGTGGCTCGGACAGCCTGGCTCAGTGGTTAAGCGTTGACCTATGTGAATCAGGAGGTCTTGGTTTGATTCCCAGTCAGGCCGTATGCCTGGGTTGCAGGCTCGATCCCAGATTCTTTCTCATTGTTGATGTTTCTATTTCTCTCTCCTCCCTTCCTCTTTTAAAATCAATAAAATAAAATATATATATTTTGCCAGTTATACAATATGTGGTGGAGAAGTAATGTACAGTACAAGAAATATAGTTAATAATATTGTAATAACTGTGTAGGGACAGATAATTACTAGACTTATTGTGGTGATCACATCATAAGGTATATAAATGTCTAGTCACTATAATTATATATTTGAAACTAATGTATGTCTAATATAAAAGTAAATTTTTAAAATGTCTAGCAAATAACAAAAAGTACATTCACCAGTGCACTATGCTACAAAAGAACTTTAAGAAAAAAACTTCTCTGATATAATGTAGTATAAATATTTGTGAAATCAAGCTAAAGAGATTGAAATACTGCCTAAAAAATGCTAAAGTAATTAAAGATTTGTTATTCCTTAATTTATTCATCTATCCACTTTTACTTATTAAAATATCTATTTATTGAATTTTATGCATAGGACACCATGGTAGATTGACTAATAGACAGAATATCTACTTTCATGGAGCTTACATTTTTTTAGTTGCAATCAGAAAATAAGCCAATAAATAAATTGATATATAATGTAAAAAAAAGTAGAAATTAAGTAAAAGTGTGGGGGGCGGGGCGGGAAAGAAGTAAAGCAAAATACAGGAATAGAGAATGTCCAACAGTATTTTGTATAGGTGCTGAGAGATCTGGTGACATTTAGGCATAGGAAGGCGTAACATGAGAGAGTCCTATGACTTTTTTTTTTTTTCTTTTAGATTATTTTTTAAAGAGTCTTATAGGCAAGGTGAAAGCAAAGGCAAAGGTCTAGAGATAGGAAAATGGTTGGTGAGTTCATGGAGGTCAGTGTGGCTACTATGGAGTGAATGAGAGGAATTGTCAATAGGAATGAAATTGGAGAGGAACCTTGGGGTTAGATTATATATGGTTTTACCTGCCATAGTAGGGTTTTTTTAAAGATTCTAATTGTAATGTGAATCCATTAGATATTTTTTCTTTGTGAGTGATGTAATCTGATTTGAGAATTAAAATGTTTACTTTGATTCTTTGTGATGAATAAATTGCTAATTGGTGGGGGCAAGAATGGAAACTAAGAGATCATTTACAAGACAATTGCAGTAAGTAATAGATGTCTGTAGAGGTTGTCAGAAGTAGAGACTGGATATAAGGCTAATAGGACTTATTAATGGATTAAATATGGTGTGATAAACTAAAAAGGCACTTGGATGAGCTGAGCAACTGTATGAATAGTGTCACTTTTTACTTAAATGGATAAAACTGAGGGAGGAGGGGATTTGGAGGAGTGAATCTAACTTTGGATGTTTTAGTAGAGTTCCCTTTTCAATAGTCAAGTAGACATGCTAATTAGTAAACTCCAATTCAAGGGAAAGTTTAGTGGTGGAAATATCTTTGAGAATTCTAAAGGTTATCAGATGTTTGCTTCAAGTTAAGAGACTGGATGAGGTTACCTAAAAGAGTGAGTGTAAGAAGATACCAAGAACTCAGTCCTGAGGCACTTCAGTTACTAGTGTTTAAGACAAAGTAGAAAATCAAAGATATAGAGTAAGTGGCTGGTGAGATTGAGGGAAAACCTGAGAGTGATATCCTAGAAGCCATGTAAAGAAAGTGTTTAAAGAAGTGAGAGATCAGGTATGTCAAAGGCTACTAATAAGTTGAGTAAGATGAAACAGAATTGCCCTTGGATATGCCACCAATGGGATTATTGGTGATCTGATGATAAACAATTTTGGCGGACTAGAGAAACCTTAATGGGAGGAGTCAGTCCAGGAGGAAATGGGAAGAGATGATTAGAAATAGTGATTATTGTTAGTTGTTTGGAAGAGTTTTACTATAAAATAGAGCAGAGATTTGGGGCTGTCAGAGAGGAAAAAACATTTTTAATTAAGTTTAGTTTTTAGTGTAGTCACTTTTTTGGGCTGGTTTTCTATTTTGGAAATTTATTTGTGACTCTGATCATGTAATTTTGCAATTTTTCTTAAGGAATACAAGACATTTTTAAATAAGTTTAGTTTGCTAGATTAATTTTAGCTCACAGTACTTGAGGTCCACATTTCATATACGCAGGTGTGTGCATTTGTGTGTATGCCTGTCTTTGTTTTATCTGTGTTAAAATTAGTTTAATATACCCATGCAAATTCAGAATAGAAAAATGATATGGTTTCACTAGTGCTTATTGTTTCTTTTAAGTAGTTGCACTGTCTAGATCAGGGGTGGGCAATCCCTGGCATGCGTGCCAACCGTGGCACGCCAGTAACTTTTGCTGGCACACGAAACCCTCTCTTATAATCTTCCATTTGCAATTTTTTTCTTAATATTGACTTTTTAATTTTTCAGATAAATTCAGTGTAGGTGCATCTTAGATCAATAAATAATTTTACATAACAAGTTATCTTAAAGACCATAGACATGGCTGACTTTGAAATGCAGTTGGTTGAATTTCAGAGTAGCTCAATTTAGAAGCAGAAATTTATTGACCTTAGAGTTGACTTGGAAAAAATTGAAAAAAAGCTATTAGAGACAGGAGTACCAGAGAGAAGTGTCGAAAACAAACTATTGAGGACTTGGAATGCCATTCCAGAAAATTTTTTCTGTTTAAAAAACTTTGCAACAGCGTTACTCTCCATGTTTTCATCCACATCGTCATATACTATGCTTTTGTCGCTCAAATGAATTTTATTATTTCTTCAAGGTTCTTCACATACGCACACCTTAAGAGATATCAAGTAGGCGTAACATGTTCTCAAAAAATTAGGGTTGGCACGCAGAAGAATTTTGAGTCAGAGATTTTGCTGGTTTTGGCATGCACTCACAAAAAGGTTGCCCACCCCTGATCTAGATCTTAGAGTTTGTGGTCCTTCATCATCATTATTTAAAGTCTTCTTGTCCACATGCTTTTTTATATTGAATCCTTTAACAATCTCAATGTCTTGTTTGGAAACCTGTCAGTTCGGTTTTGAATATCAAACTTTATCTCTTTTATAGGACTGGTCATGCATCTTCCTTTGGAAGTAACCTCAGAATCTCCACAGAGATGTTTTTTTAAACATGCTACTCATCTTGAAATCTTAGAAGATCTTTTATCATACCTTTTTATTACAAATAAAGTTATAGCGAACACTCTTCCCCATCCCATTCTTTGTGGAGCTGCTGCTGGGCAGGAGGAATATAGGAGAGAAATCATGTGCTGACACTGGGTTGTTTTATGCCAGATATTTTAAGTTAGTTACTCTTACTTTCAGTACTTATATGAAGGGATCCTAATTATACAAGAAGTTATTTTCCTCCTTCAAATTATCTTCCTTCTCCTTTATGTATCACCTATGCCTAATTTAGTATCTGTCCCTGAATAATAGAGCCTATTTAACTTCTAGAGAACGTCTGTCTTTTAAAATCGAGGGTTGTGAGATATGGATTTGGGAATATGTACAGAGAAGCTGGTTAAAATAGTTCACAGAAATATTGTGGGTTTTAGAAGAAAGGACAGCAGGCTTTAAAAACAAACTAATTCTTGCTTGCTTTATGGTCATAGGTAAACTTTTTGGTCTTCAGCTTTCTTATATGTTAAACTAGAGGCTTGGTGCACGAATTCGTGCACAAAGGAATGCGGCCGACCAGGGGGAGGAGCCAGGGGCAGTTGGCTGGCCGTCCCTATCCTCTGGTCAAATTTGCATATTAGACTTTTATTATATAGGATGGCTTTAGTGGTACTTAATCCAATAGAATTGTTGTAGAAATTAAATGAAGTAATGTGTGTAATGTACCTAGCATAGTGCTTGATATGTAGATTTTGAACCTTTTTTTTTTAATTTGTTTTATATGTAGGTAGTTATCTTGCTTTTATAACTCTAAAAAGCATACATAATTTATTGTTTACATAGTCTGAGAAGAAGTACATTTTCTATATATTTCTATAAAATACTTTATAGAAATTTTACTCTCTTGGGAGCAAAATTATTCTTTTGGGAATATTTTCTGTTTTCCCAGTAGATAGACTTTAATCTACACTTAAAAATGTTGGGATTTGTTTATTCTTGGACATATTAAGCATTGTAAACATCCTCTTGAGCCTCTAAAATATCCGTTTTAATTTGAAGTATGTAGAAAGAGGGAGAGAATTTGAATTATTTTGTATTGGAGGAAATTAATTCTTATCATATTTAATATATATTTACTAAGCAACTCTGAAAATAACATTCACTGAGCCAAGACTATTCTATTGGGAACTCACATGTATGAGAAGGGAAATACTTCATTTATATTCCATTTTAATTTGTAATTTGATTTTTTACACCTATATAACGATCTTTAACCTAATGAGTGAATAGATGAAATATTAACCTACATTCGCTTTTATCTATAGGAAATAAATACTGTGAAACTGGCAGCAAACTTTGGGAAACTTTGCACAGTCCCTCTGGCCAGCATCCTTGTAGACAATGTTGCACTACAATTTTTTATGGGTAGGTAAATCCATTTTATGAAAATAATATAATCCTTTAAATTTTTAATAATTGTAACTATTATTAAATTTTAAGTACTCAGTATTAAGCATGCCAGATCTGTCTCACCTCTTTCTCTTATTCTCTGAAATGTTCGTTTTTTTTCACTGGAAAACAGAGGTAGAGATTTATTTTGTTTTGAAGAAACAAATGCTTATTATAGCTCTGATGTGCATTTGCTAAACTGCTTTTAAAATAAACCTTGGAAGAGTCTACTGTGAATTTAAATTATTTGAGGAAGAGTATTTTATGAGGAATACATGGCATATATAACTGGTTTATATCACTTTTTTGTGTGAATGGGGAGGGAATTTTATTACAATTACAGCGTAATTCCTTTTATTTGGAGAACATTTTTACCACAACTTTCTGATTCTTAATTTTCATGAAAAAAAATATAGATACATGATTTGTTGAAAAGTTTAATTTTTACTCTTACTGTTTATATAAATATTAATACATATTATGATTATTAATGTTTATTGAGAAAAAAGCTGAATGCTAACAAAATGGATTTATTTCTGAGGAAATTTTGTGTAGCAATTTTATCCCCTAAAGATTTTTTTTTTAAATGTGCTTTTATTTATGTTTCCTACATAACTGGTCTTTTTTAGCTTAACTAATTAATGATATAACTATATTTTCACCTCAGACACTTTTTATACATTTTAAAATGTCAAATTTTAAGTATTTGACACCTTAAGTTTTCTTAAGTTATCATACAGCTACATGCACCCAGAAATGTGTGACACTAATATCTATGGTATGGATTTTATTCGGTAGATTACATGCAGCAAACTGGAGGTCAAGCACATCTCTTCTTCTGGATGACAGTGGAAGGGTACCGGGTTACAGCCCAACAACAACTAGAAGTTTTATTAAGCCATCAGAAAGATGGAAAACATCAAACCAACCAAACCAAAGGTCTTTTAAGAGCAGCTGCTGTTGGAATTTATGAACAATATTTATCAGAAAAGGTGAGGATATATTTTGGTTAATGTGCTCTTATCTTCTTTGGCAGTATCATTAATAATAATTTTTATATTCTTATAAATATCCATTACTTATGCTAGGCACAACTTTTTCACAAATATTGTCTCATTTAATCCTGATCACAGTCTTATTTTGTATATTATCTTTATATTTTGAAGGGAAGAAACTAATGTTTAGGAAATCGAATTAACTTGGCCAAAGTCATGAAAATACTAAATCAGTCATGAAAAGCTAAATCAACCTTCCTAATGCTGCGACCTTTTAACCCTTTGTGGTCGTATTAAATTTGGACATGGGTGTCGTACTGGTCGGAATTAATTTCCATTGAAAGAGCAGTGATACATAACATGCAAGATTATGAAGGATAAACAAGATTTATTAATTCTTTTTTGGAACTACGTCACTACTAGTAGAATCACTATAAACGTTATCACTTTCTGCGTCAGAGTCAGTATTCAAGGTGCCAAAATAAA